GGTCCAGGCGGTGCACGTCGATCCCAAGCGCCGGGTCCGCCGCGCGCCGTCAGACGCCATGGGGACGAGCAGGTCCAGGCGCTGCATGTCGAGGCCGAGCGCCGGGTCCGCCGCGACGCCGGCGGGCGACGTGGGCACACAGGTCCAGGCGCAGCACGTCAAGGCCGAGCGCCGGGCCCGCCGCGACGCCGTCGGGCGACATTGACACGAGCGGGTCCAGGCGGTGCACGGCGAGGCCGAGCACCGGGTCCGCCGCTACGCCGTCGGGCGGGCATGGGCGACGGACCCAAGCCTTTTCGGACCGGCTATCAAAAACATTGGGCGCGCATCCCCTCCTAGCTCCGATACGCCGAAGCACGCTGGTGCCACGGCCCCGCCTCTGGGTGTGGAGGCGCCTCTGTTGACAGATGAGGTCATTGCCGACATGGGCGCCGCGGACCTGAAGAGGGTCTGCCGTGAAATGAAGCTGTATCAGGGCGGGAACAAGGAGGCGATGCGCATGCGCGTGGAGAACTTCATCGACCATAACCACAACAAGATTTACATTCAGGTGGTGCCGTCCGACAGGGCTTATACGCCCGCAGAGGCCATATGGCCAGGTTTTGTTGATGGGATCTTTGATCAAATGCTGGTGGCGGACATCAACATACCGACGCCCCTTTTGTCGATCGACTACGACACACGACCAGCCTCGGACCGCGGCGACTTTATTCTAAGGTTCATCCGGGGCAACTGCGTCCCGCTTGAAGACGACGCCGGCGTCACGGAGGGCGAAGTGGGGCGTATGCACGTCAACTTGACAAAGTTTAAGCGCATGTTGATGCGCGAGTACGGCCCCAAACGGCCGTCGATTGCGGGGACGGCGGCCGCGAACCGCGCCTTGGACGCGTCGATGCGCGTCGGCGGGACGGCGGCAACGTGGACCCGCCGGCCATAGACAAAGGGTTCGACGTACACCTCTGCACGCGCCTGCTCATGGTCCTGATCGAACCCGACCTCGCGGGCGACCTCGCGCGCATCAACGAGGGCGACAACTCGCGGGCGGAACTAGAGGCGGGAGACCCGTGGGACGTTGGCGATGCCATCGCCTTCAACGACGAGACGTTACAAAGCCGGTAAATTTCCGACCTGATAACATCGACGTCAGCTCCCTCGACCCGTCGCGCGCTCCGGAGCAAGAGTGCAGCGGCGCGTTCCTCAATGCGAAACACAGCGCGTTCAAGTCGCTGTACACCAAGGTCAGAATGCCCCAATCCCTGTCGTGGTGCGCGCGTCGGCGCACTTGCAAAGTCGAAAACGACCCGACGTTAGGTCTTGGCGCATTATAAGTCTGGTGGTGGTGATGGCCAGTGGCACGACTATTATCAGAACGCGGGCATCGCGCATAAGGACCGGGCCCTCTTGTCGTACATGCGCCTCGTCATGTCCCGCGGAGGTCTGTACGCCAACGTGCAGCGCGGCTTGTCGCCGGCGGTCGCACGCGAAGAGGGCGAGGAGGGCGACTCGGACGGCCCCGGCTTAAAGCGCCGCAAAAGGCGCAAGTCCCGCGGGGCCGCAGAATAGAGGGGAACACTTCCTATAAGTATTAGGGCCTATAGGAATTCCTACAGCCACTGATTTCCAAAAGTCCGAAGACCAAAAGGCGCAAGTCCCGCGGGGCCGCAGATGACGCAGCCGATTCGGTGGCCAGCGGTTGCGTGGCGTTGCAGCAGGGCATCAGCGAGCTCGCGGCCGCGTTCCGAGTCGACGAGTCGCCGAGTCAGAGAGAGCGGGCCTCGCGTAGGGAAGCAAAGTGCTCAAGTGGAGTACAGGAAGCAGCGCGACTCTGAGGACAAGTCGCGAGCAGCCCTGAAGAGTCAGATCACCGACGGCTTGAACGGTCTCCGCTAAGCGGGCCTTGACTGGGTTGGCAATTCAGCCCTGGGCCATCTTGCCTGTCGATGCTACGTCTGCCATGGTCCACGCATTCACGGACTTTTTGGTCGCGTCTGACACGGTCAGTCGTTTTCAGACTCGTGACGCTCGAGCCGGCGCTTGGGCCGACGCTTGGGCCGACG